ATTCAGTTGTGTCTCAAAAGATAAATACCTTAATATTATATATTGAGATGTAGTTAAAACTAAATTATAGGTTAAAATTAATTTAAAATGTTTAAAGTTTCAAAACTGTGTTCACAAAATTCATTCACAGAGAGAGTAATCAATCAAATACATAATAATTTGTCTAGAATTTATGTTTCTCTGCTATGTAGGGAAAAGACAACAGATGTAAGCTACCCTAAATCCTTCTTGAAACAATACAGGGTGTGTGAAAGTCAGTAGAGATAGTAGAATATAATGCAGTGAACACAGATCTGAAATTGGGAAACCAAGATTAATCCTTAACTCCATTACTTTGTTAACACTGTGATTACATAGTCACTGAAATTGTGTGTGCTCAGTTTCCCTGTCTATGCTAAGTGCACAGTATTGACATGTGCCTTGTAGTTGCTATTATTAGCATTAAAAGACAGATACTTGTGAAAGTTTTATGTACAGCTATGCAGATATTTTCATCATACATATATACATACTGTCCACACAGTGTGACTTTATATAATTCACTGAGTCTTTTCATAAGTGCATGAAATTCATATTGCTTGATATAAAATAGAGATTGTCAAGCTTAAAGTGTTAGCTATTTAAAGTATAATCTATAATCATAGAGGATAAAAAGAACAATGCTAGTAGATTCTGATAAATCTATCCCTTACGCCATTCTGAAACTCTGTTGGATTTAAATGTTAAGATCAAGCCTGATAAGCTTAGAGAATTCCTGAAATGGATTCGAAGTAAATGCTAAGGACATGAGGTGCATCCATGTCATAAACTCGTGCCTTTGGCCTTAGCAGCCTCAGACCTAAACAAGTTTCCCCGCAGAGAGTGTTCACTTTCTGAATGCTTAGTCTTTGTTTTGAGGGTTTCTTTTGCTTGATTTTGCTGTTGCTGGTTTGTTTTGTTCTACCTTTGTGTAAAACCAAGCACTTTGGAAGTTGTTGAGCTTTCAACCTTACCCTTCTTTCTGTCCTGCCCTCTCTTTCACTCAGATATAGACAGATATATACCATATTCACTCACCTCTCCCTCTGAAACTCTTGAATTGACTAGTAATTCTTAATTCCTCAATAATAAAAGTCAGCCTCCTTGGATATCCCCAACTACTTCTTTTTCTCAGATTCCTGGTTCTTCTTTCCATGTTCTATTTTACTTTCATTGTCCATAAGATTTCTTTTTCAACTGTCTCCCAAAGTCTAGATCTCTTCCCATCTTCCTCATAGTCTTCAGCTCCATCATTGTGGCTTCGACAGATGACCTTGTAAACATCATAATCACATGGATCCCAAACTCCTCCACTCCAGTAGCTGTCATATCCAAACCATTTCAACCCCACCTCCATGATCACCCTTGGAGTCACCTCTCTGGCCACCACACCTTTGTTTAGTCAGTAGCTCGACTAAACATTTTAGATCCCCTGATCTGGGATTTCTTCTCCCCTTCCTGATCCCTCAGCTTAGCCCTCATTTCCTTTATGACTTTGCTTGTCACTTTAACAAGCATTGGCCCAAGAGTTGGCCATTTCAGCAATGACGCCAGAGAACTTTAAAATCTCTTCTTTGGGTTACTATCAGCATCTGAATTCTCCACTCTCACACCCAAATTACTCATTATTATTACTGGAAATAATCACAGAACACTGCTAATTGTTTCTACTACAAAGTCATGTTGTGGAAATGGAGAGCTGCTCTAGTTTTTAATCATACCATTTATTCTGCCCAGTACTTAACTCAAAACATTTTTGTCCTCCTTTATAGTTCTTTCTCCTGGCAAGAGATGTCATTTCCAGCTTACAGAGATTATTGACATACTCTAATACAGCTACTGCCAGTGATCAATATCCCTTCTCTTCAGAGCTTCTAGACTGTTCATTGACTTTCTGTAAGAGAAGTCTTTAACAACCAGCAGAAGCCCCTCCCCTTTTTTGGTGGTCCTGCGGTTTGAACTCAAGGCTTCACACTTGCTAGTCAGATACTCCAATACTTGAACCATGTCCCAAGCCCTTTTTGTTTTAGTTACTTTTCAGATAGGGTTTTGTGCTTTTTGCCTATGGCAACCTAACTTTGATCCTCCTACCTGTTTCCTGCATAACTGAGATTACAGGTATGCACCATCACACCCAGGTTATTTGTTGAGATGAGGGTCCTTTTTTGACCCAACTGACCTGGAACCATGATCCTCCCAATTTTTCTATCTCCAGAGTAGCTGGGATTACTGGCATAAGTCACTATGTCCAATCCAGAAAACCTCTTTTCTGTGGCTTACCTCCATACCTCATCAGCAGAAACCCCAGGAAGGTCTTTTCTCCATACAACTCATTTTGTGTTTAGTAGCTGCTAATCTTGACCTCAAGGATATTATAGTCCACCTGAAAAGATAGAAAGCAAATTTTATAGAAACAAATACTTACTATGGAATAGGTGCATTGGCATTTTGTTACTGAAAACTTAAAGCTTACACAGACAATAAAAGCCTTAAAAGCCTAATCAAACTATTATTCAGATGAGGCAAACAAATACCAGTAGTTAACTGATTTGCCCATGGTTTTACACTTAATTTAGAGGGACAAATTGTAAACTCTTACCTTACCACCTTCAAGCTAGTATTGAGCAATTGTGAGTTATATTGTTTACACTTCATCCAAACTTAAAATGGCTAGGGAGGGGGGACCCTCCATATTCACCAGTTCCATATCACATTCACCTGAGTGTGGACGGAAAATATTAGGGAAAAAAATTTTATCTGTACTAAATATGTAAAGCCTTTTTTCTCATCAATACTCCCTAAGCAATTTAGTATAACAACTATTTACATAATATTCAGATTTTAGATATTCTAAGCAACCTAGAGGTGATTTAAAATAATCAGAATTATGTACATGGATTTTATACAAATGCTGCACCACTTTAAATAAAAGACTTCAAAGTCTATTAGCTTGGCATCCATCAGGGTCCTAGAACTAGTCCCTCACAGATACTAAGGGAAGACCTGTGTTTGCTTTAAATATTCTGTCTTGTCAGGAAGCATCCTCATACTCCTGTTATCCAGTAGACAATGACATGGTCAGTTCTAGGTGAGAGACAGTGAGGGTCTGCTCTAGGCAAGGGGTGCAGAGAGAAACGCACTAGGAGTATTTGAGCAAAAAAACATGTAGCAGCATTTGATTCACTGTATTTGGACACTTGCAAACCATTTTACCATCCCAGAATCTTGATCTCCCCACCTGCATTTTCTGTAAATTAAAAATTGATGTTATGGCTTTTCATTTACTTCATTAAGCACTTAACTTTGCATGAATTTTTTGCATTCTCACATCTGGGTCATACGATGAAAAATTGTGGGGAACCCTCATAAATTTTATGAAATCTTTCAACTTCATCATAGAAACTTCAAAGTTAGAAACATATGGTTCATCCATCCAACTCTTTACTATGTGAGCTTTGGTCTGGAATTTATTTCCAGTCAAGTTGTAATGTAAAATCAAAAGTAAACTTGCCATAGTTACGCCACATTACAAGTTCTAACCTCATCATGGTACCATATTAGATACAATTATTCACTTCTCTTTTCTCTTCCCTTAGCAAAGTCTCAAGAGTTGTGACTTGTGACTCCTTTTTTGTCTATAAGTAGCATTCATCCTAACCTGCTTGTCTCATTTACTTTGAAGAAAAAGTGTATTCTGCTTTGCAAGGATAAAGAAAAAGTAGAGTACATTTTCCTAGTTTTGTAAACATGTGCAGTCACACATGTATACACATCCACACAGTCACATGAGCACAGACATGCATATGAATATGTCTGCTGTACCAATGGTCAGGCTTTGCGATGTGCAACCAGTGCACAACTAAAGACCATGTGACCATTCTGTCACATTAATCACGACATCCAAAAACTTTGATCCATTTCCCTGTAATTTGTATAAAGAGATCATAGATTTTGTTTAGCGGAATTTTTTTTAGTTATTTTACTTTTTGTAAATTCCAGAACACAGAATTGGAAATTCAAAGCTTAGAAGAATGTGTATGCACCAGCAGTACTAAGTAGCAGTATGACAAATTTTACTTATATAGCTTTAAAAGTTTCTAAAACTCTTATACATTTTATACATTTTTATAAATATTTTACTGTCAGTGAAATATTTGTCATTAAAGTAGTATTGTATTCATTTGCTAGGTACATCCCAAACAGAGTATGGCCCTAAACCTATGTAAAACAGCTACCTAAGATCATGATATTAACTTATGTGTCTTTAAGTCAGCATTCTCCAGAATCTAATTTAATTGAAATAGCTTTGCCTGTGTAAACTTCTCCTTTGTTTAAATAAGATTTCACTGTTTAGTTTTGCCTTAAGCAAAGGCAGCCTTTGTTTGTCCATAAAACATTAGATTAAATGTATAGACTAATATGAATAGCTTCCCATCATTGCACATGTACACTGGCTGTTGTCCTCTTTGCTAGTGTGTGGTGTGTTGTCAGCGAGAACCAGGGCTCTATCATTAACCTGCTCTTTGGGGAAAATAAATTTTTGGTAAGAAAACCTTCTGTCTCCTTTCCATTATTGATTTTAAATTTGAAAAGCGATGTGAAGTTTTCTTTTTAAATGCAACTGCTAATGTTCTTGATACAATGAATTATGTAAGTATTTGCTTTAAAAGTACACTGAGTTTTTTATCTTAGTTTCGTTACCAGGTACCAATACTATCTAGCTATGTAGCTGCCCTAAAAATAATCTTAGTATTTAGCCCTTTGTAGGAAGTAATGCACATTAAATGCTGTGGAAGGTTCAGCTTGTCCGCCCCCCCACCCCAGTCCAACTGTACTTTGTTTTCTGGTTTCAGATTTGATGAGTATTAATTTCAAGATATAACAATTATTTCTGTTTGCTTTTTATTCAGGCTATATCATATTCCCAGTGGAGAGGGCAAGGGTCATGATGTGCTTGTAACATGTACATTTTCCCTATTCAGGCCATGCTGGATGTGGCTGCAAACCAGGGCTGGCTGGTGACTGCCCTGAATATCACCAACCTGGTTCAGATGGTGATTCAAGGTCGGTGGTTAAAAGACTCTTCTCTTCTTACATTACCAAACATAGAACAGCACCATCTTCACCTTTTCAGGTAATTGTTTTCATTTTTTAAAACTGTGTTTTTGCAGGGGCAGGTGCTGGGTCTCAAACCCAGAGCTATACCACTGAACTATAACTCACAGCCCCCCAAATTTATTCTTTTAAATCTGTAATAGCCACTGGAATTATTTTTTTTCTTGGTAGTACTGCAGTTTGAACACAGGCTTCACGCTTGCTAGACTGGTACTCTACCACTTGAGCCACTCTGCCTGCTCTATTTTATGTTGGGTATTTTCGAGATAGGGTCTCACAAACTATTTGCCCAGGCTGACCTCAAACCATGATCCTCCTGAGTATCTAAGATTACAAGTGAGAGCCACCAGGACCCAGCCACTGGAATTTCTTGTGGTCCTTAGAATATGATTATTGGTCCAAAGTGAACCACAATCATTCTAACCCTCTCCTATCTACATTGTAACATTGAGTACACTCCTATTTTGATTGCATCTGTAACATTGAGTATACTATCTGTAACATTGAGTACACTTCTATTTTGATTGCATCTGTTCCTTTACAGCATCACCCCCCTCATTTAAGCAGACATTACTAAAGTGCCTTTGATCCAAAACAAAATAAATTATCAATTTATGCTACTGTAGAAAAGATTTGAGGGATCAGATACCCATTGTCAAAAATAAATTGTGCATCTGCAAAATGTCCAAAACTAGGTATTGTATATACTAGGAGCTCAAAACATAACCTATGCTTAAAAGATTTTTGTATTAGAATCAAACTATTTAACCCTTAGTTGTTATGTTTGTGGCTACAAATATTTTAGCAAAAAAAAAAATAGTACTAGATACAAGCAAAGTTGGCAGTGTTTAAATGAAAATGTTTCTTTCACACCAGTGTTTCACAGCAGTTGAGAGATACTTTGCAGCCAAAATGTTGATTCTGGGTCATGTAGACAAGCAAAACAGTCTGGTTGTAGCTTACATCATGCACCCTGTACCTCTTATCAGCTGGTCAAGTGGTGGCAGTCGTTTGCCTGGGCTGGCTTCAAACCATGATCCTCCTGATCTCCACCTCCTGAGTAGCTAAGATTACAGGTGAGAGCCACCTATGCCCAGCCACTAGAATTTCATGTGGTATGTAGAATATGGTCATTGGTCCCAAGCTGAACCACAGTCATTCTAACCAAAATGCCAACACAACCTCAGGTAAATGTGGGGTCCCCTCAAGAAAGTCCCTCATTTGACTCCAGGGTACCTATCTCTAGGATACTTGAGCGCTCACCATGGGATATCCCTGGAGCTAACGGACATTCAGTGAGTGAGCCATACCAGCAACAGGTGATATGAAGAGAAGACACATATCTTTGGCTGTTTCTGGTGTGGTACTAAACCTTGTGGGAGTTGGGTATCAGCAGAAAAGAGGGCACGCCGAGGTGCTATCTGACACAGCACACAGGCCTATTATAGGAGCTTCTTGTGGCTTACGATGTTCATCTAGATTTCCTGACACCCATAAGACTAAACTATTAATATAATTTCAACTATATTTTATTCTTGCCTTAAGATTTAGGTGTCTGGCTGGGTGCGGTGACTCATGCCTGTAATCCTAACTACTCAGGAGGCAGAAACTGGGAGGATTGCAGTTCCAGGCCACCTGGACAAAGAATTTGCAAGACTCCATCTCAACCAATAAAAACTGGTGGCATGGTAGTGCATGCCTGTCATCTCAGATATGTAGGAAGCATAAATAGGAGGATCATGGTCCAGGCGAATCTGGATATAAATGCAACAGCCTATCTCAAAAATAAACCATAAAGGGCTGGGAGCATAGCTCAAGTAGTACAGCACTTAAGCACAAGGCCCCAGGTTCAACCTGTAGTACCACAAAAAAAAAAAAAAAAAGATTCAGATGGCCTGTGTCCCTTATATCTGGCACAACTAGTGCTATAAGTTTCAAAGTAATATTTCAAATTTTATGTGTCCAGCAACCTACAATTTGAACTTTATTCAAGTACTTATATTAGAGGCATTTGCCCGCATCTATTAAAAGTTTGTCAGGGCTCCATGTCATTACTTCATCCACATGGAAGGATTACTTCATATTAGTGTCTTGTTCAAGAACACCTACTGTCTGTGCACCTTAAGTATTTACTGAGACGGTATGTCATTTGTGATATACACATCTTATGTGATACTGCTTTGGGGTGCTATCTTAGAGAATGCTGGTTGATACTTTAAACTTAGAATGCCCTATAAAGTGTATATCTTATGTAAAGAAAACTTCAAATTATACAAAACTACTGTTGTCAGAAAATGAACTTTGTGCCATGAGGGAATTGTTTTGTTGGTGTTGATGTGGTTCCTTAGGAAGTGGAAACCAGTTGTTAAGGGCCCTCGGACTAAGTGCCGAAGCTCCATCGAGTGCCTTCCTGAACTGATCCAGGCCTGTGGAGGGAAAGAACATGTATTTAGCTCCATGGTAGAGAAGGAGCTGCAGGCTGTGAGGACAAAGCAGGTAAGGCTACCTCTTCTGTGTTCTGAAGGTTCCCATACTCTGTCTGGGAAGTTATACCAAGAGTTTTTGTTTTTTTTTTCTTTTTTTTTCTTCTTTTCTTTCTTTCTTTTTCTTTTTTTCTGATAGTACTGAGGGCCTCACACTTCCTAGGCAAGCACTCTACTATTTGAGACACATCCCCACCCTTTTTGCTTTAGTTATTTTTCAGATAAAGTCTCATGTTTTTGACCCAGGATGAGCCCCAGGCCATGTTCCTCTTACCTGTGCCTTCCACATAGCTGAAATTACAGGTACACACCACCATGCCTAGCATATTCTTTGAGATAGGGTCTTACTCACTTTTTTTGCCTGGGTTAGCTTTGAATGTGGAGATCCTCCTCTCACCATCACCCAAGTGCCCGGGATTATTAGACATGTGCCACTATGCCTGGCTATACCAAGAGTTTTCTAAGTTAGGGTGTGGGTTTTAGAGTCAGGCTCACCTAAGTTTAAATTCTTTCTCTGCTATTTACTTACTATGATTTTTGAACATGGAAGTTATTCCAGTGCAATGCTGTCACTCTGTCTGTGAAAGGTTTCATGTAGCTTGTCCATCACTGGGTTGCATTATCCAGGAGCCCTTCTTACTCCCTTTCTTCACATTAGTTTTTCATTTTTTATTCTTGTTTGAATATAATTCCCTCAATTACTTGTTTATGTTGCCCTCTTATTTTAATCACTTTATTGTTCCTAGATTCTAAGGTATTCTTTCAGATAAACTCCTTATTTGTGAACCATATGACATATAAAAAGTGAAATTTATTTTGTGAAAGGCAACATGGGTCATCTATCCAGTCTTTGGGAAGGTCAAAAAAATGCATGAATGATGCCAGAAATAGTTGGCTATCTAGACCTTCAAGTCTAAGAAGTTTACCCTAAAATTCAAAGTAAATACTCAGAATTTCTAACAGAATTGATATACTGATTTGCAAATGCAGGTATGAAAGAAACTTCTAAATCTTGTCTCTTCCCTTCCCTCCCAAGTGAAACTTATTTTTGAGCAAGACTTGGAAAAAGTGTAACAGGCATTTATGTCTGATTGTTCAGTTTCTGTTGAACCCAACATTGGCACAAAAATTATTTAAATATTCATAATAAATGCCTACCTTTCTAACTAAATTACCATTAAAATTATGAATAAAAACAATATCTGTGATTCCAAACAAGGCTTATGTTAGTAACAACAGATTTCTAATATAACATACATTGATTTCAAGCCAAGTTTTAGATATGATGAAAAATTAGAACATTGTCATAATTAGTTCAGGGAGAACTCAGAAGTAAACTTACTTAATTTATTTGCATAAATTGCCATTCTGTTATCTTTAAAACCAAATGCAAATTGGCTCTGTCTGATATGATGATGGTTATTTGGCTCAAAAGTGCTTCAATTTGCAGAGCAATCTGGTGTCGGCTCTGCAGTGAGGCGATCCCAGGTAACATACAAATCCTGAATTATTCCAGAAATTAGTATGTTTAAAGCATCAATTTAAGTGCTAATTGCAGTAGTAATGAGAAAAAGCAGTACGACTGTGAGATTTGCATCTTCTACCCCATCAGTATGCCTGGAACGGCTGCTGACTGGCAGAGGATTTGGCTGCTAATTAAATAATTGTATGCATGGCAGTGCTCTTGCCTGATTCAATAGATGAAGATTAATCCTCAGATAAATATGTTTGGCTGGTATTGAAATGTCTTAGCAGTTTCTTTAAAAATAGCTCATGTTTTATACACATAAATATATATATATGTACCCAGTAAATACATGTGTACACATTGTAGGTTGAAAAATAATAATATTTAGTCCTACAAAAAGAATTCATTTTTATCTAAAAGCCAAATATGACTTTCAAGAGCTTTGTAAAGTCAAATCCCAGAGAGTTGCTCAAAACCAAAAACATTATGTTGGTAATGAGTTTAATGGTACAAGTAAAAAATATGAAGTCTTGTTTCGTGTGGTAAATACAGCTCGTGTTATCTCTCTAGCAGTTGTGTATTTAAGGGCCCCCATGGCCACTTTTCATTGTCCTGCAGTCTTAGAAGCACATGCAGTGGTACAGCTTCTGTACCTAGTGACTACTAAGTTCTAGCAGGGGCTAGGCAATCATTTGGTCTTAAAGTACATTCTGTGGCTTGACTATTTTACAATTTAGTTCCAGGCAAATTTCAGATTCACAAGAAAAGTTGCAGGATCAGAGTTGCATCAAAAATTTGCATTGGATTTACATGTTTTTAATTTCTAAGGGGTAGTTTGGCTCATCAGAAATACTTCATTTCAATTACATATACTCAGTAGCACTAAAGTCATACCAGATAGGAAGTCAAAGCCTATAAGGAAATATATAGTATACATTAAAGTAATCAAAGGGAAACCAAAATTAAAGAATTCATGTACTTTTTAAAACTACCTTAGAAAGTAACAAATGATAAAGTACCCAATGTATTGAGAAGTTTTCTTGATTGTTAGTGATATTGCCACATAATTGTAAATAAAAGAAAAAGATAACAATTACCTGAGGACTCTTAGTTTATTGTGTTACATGCTTTCCATAGATGTACGAATTTATTCATTCAATGTTGTTGAACACAGATTATTCACAAGTATCTTTTAAAGAGCAAAATTAAAATTGGTGAAATATTTCCACTGTCTTAATGTGTTTTTAACTAGTATTATAAGCATGGTAATGCCATAAAGTCTTATTTGTTTCTAGAAGGAACCTAGACTTATAGGATTCCCTGTGATATATACAGATGTAGAAATGTATTCCTTTCAGAAAAATTTGGAATATGAACAAAAAAGTTGTATAAGTGGTTAGTGGATGATGCTGACATTAATAATTTCATCTTAATTTTTTTAGATTGCCTTTATGTCCCCAAATAATGCTCTCTACCTTAAAAGTCACATAAGTCCTAGAATAGACACATCTCTAAAACAAAACAACTCAACAATAAACATTTTTAGGGCTGGCAGAGTGGCTTAAGTGGTAAAGCACCTGCCTAGCAAGTGTGAAGCCCTGAGTTAAGATTCCAGTACCACCAAAATAAATAAATAAATAAACATTTTTAATAATGTTATTTTTAGTATAGTCAATAGCCACTCGATATCAAGAGAGGTTTACAAGAAAGGGGCCATAATTTTAGATGATAAATCCTTTTCTAAGCTTTTTTTTAAAACAATCCTTAAGAAGATTAAAAGCACACTATATCTATATACACATACCTGTGCGTGCGCACACACACACACACACACACAAGTATAAGAAAAACCAGGAAAGTCTTAACAAGTAAGTGAATTATATCAAAGTCAGTATCCCGCTGTTAGTATTGTACTCTGATTTTGAAATGCTGACGTTGAGTAAACAGTGCAAGGGATCTCTATCATTTCTTAAAGCAGCATTAACTTTATCCAGTTATTCCAGAATTAACTTCCAAATTAAAAAGTTGACTTTTTTAAATTAAACACACTATTTTTTAGTTGATTGCTGCATTTCACTTTCATTGTTCCTTAATTATTTTTCCTCTCTTTTTTTATTCAGGCATGGAATTTCTTATCTCGCTTGCCGGTGGTAAATGTTGGCATAAGTGTTAAAGGCTCATGGGATGACTTAGCTGAAGGACATAATGAACTGTCTGTCTCAACTCTGACCGCAGACAAACGAGATGACAACAAATGGATCAGATTACATGCTGATCAGGAGTATGTGCTCCAAGTCAGCTTGCAGAGACTCCACTTTGGGTTCCACAAGGTGTAGTATTTGGTTTTCATTCTCATATACTCCGCATCAAATACCAGCATGCACCACCACACATATCTGTTAGATTACTCATGTGTCTGTCATTCATGAATCCTGCTTTCTCAACTGGTCTTAAGCAGCAAGAGTCAATCTTTTGAAATTAGTCAGTTCTCCTCATGTGCCATTTTCAGCCTCAGAATATCCACCTTACATAATACATTGCCTAGACTACTGTTCTTAAAGTATGGTCCAGCAGAATTTCCTAGAGTGCCTTTTAAAGTGCAGATTCCTTGGCCTTACTCCATGCTGACTAATCTCAGCACCCATATGATTTTTAAGGACATTAAACTCAGAGAAGCACTGCCCTGGAGATACTTAGGATACAGGAACCACAGAAGACTAGATGTAGATGAGATTGAAGCTTTTCTACTTAGCTCTATGAATTTGAATAAGACACTAAGCTTTTCTGAGCCTCAGTTGCCACATCTGCCTGCTTCCTTCATTATAATGCATATGAGAGAGCTTTGTCAATTTCATACAGACCAAAAATGTACAGTAGTTTTATTTTAAATTACTATGCTCTTTTTCTTTAGCCTCTGACACCAAAATTAATTATTTAGTCCTCTAAGAATATTAGTACACATAGTGTGGGCAAATTGGTTTTTATTGCCATAATAATTGAAATAAGAAAGACTGTCTTCTTTTTCATTCCAGTGAATTCAGTGTTTTCTGATGTCTACAATAAGCCTTTAGGGATGAGATTGTAGTTCGTTGGTGTTCCCACATTTTTACCCTCAAGCCAGTTGGTAAATCTATAGTGTTATCATATCTTTTTAGTACTACCCCTACAAGTCCCACCTCATTTGATTTCTAACACTAAAAATCAGCAAGTGTAAATATGAACTGGGATAGGCCTCTGGCACTTTATAGGCTTAAGTGTGAGCCTTTTTAGATGATTTACTATACCTACAAACTAATAACAGTAATCATAAAGAGAAATTCCTGAGAAAAAATTTAAGTTTTTTTACCCTAATATTCTACCTAAAAATAAGATTTAATCATGCTAGATAAACTGTAAATTTTATTGCCAACTGCCATGAAAACACAATATTCTCTGACCCTCTTTGAAAATATAAGTGAAAAATCCCCCCTAAATTACTGACTGAAATCTGATATTAGTATATTCTGTGACATAAAGTCATTGTCTTAAAGAACTACTAAATGTGATCTTGCTTTTGTAAAAATTAATCCAAAATAAAGACTTCAAAAAAATAAAGACTTCAAGTGCTGTCATTATATTTATATCTAAACTTATATTATGGTGATAAATATATATTACAAATTGCTGGACTCACAATTTCCTAGTTTTCTGAGAAAGGACCTTTTTTGCTTGTTTGTTTCTTTGTTTGTTTGTTTATGGGGTTTTTTTGGAGACAGGCTATTACTGTGTAGCCCAGGTTGATCTCAAACTTTCCATCATTCCTGAGTGTTGGGATTGCAGCCATGGACCATCTCACTGACAAAGAAAGGACTTTTCAAGATACCATATCACAACATGTGGGGTTTTTTTTTTAATGTGGATTTTGTCCTGGGGCAGTAAGAGTACGCAAGTATTTATATGACATTGTGCTCATTATCTTAAGGCCCAAAGGCTAGTCTTGGTTGGCTTTGTTTATTTTCCTAATGATCAGTTACTTGTGACTAAGAATTTGGAAGAATTAGTTAATATGGTTCTATCTCAGTGTAGTTATCTGTTAGTGGAATATTAATGTCAGTTGTATGACTGGCATACGAATTTACTAATTGATGTCAAGGGTCAGAGCTTTCTATTCTAAATGAGCCAAATATTCTGGTAGGTATAGCCACAAAGTGGTGTCTATATGTGTTATGAAAATCTTGAAGGACAGTAGATAAAGGCATATCAAAGACACCGAACCAGAAAAGAAGGAAATTTAAAACACCCCAGACAGACGTGCCTGAACTATGTAGATTTATGGTCTTTAAGTAAAAACAACATATCCTTTTAACCACAATTAAGTGGTGTAGAAAGCATAGATATTAATTAATATATTATCTTTCTTTTTTTTTTCTGGTTTACAGGGGAAGCAGGAGAGCTATGCAGTTACCCCTCGATTTCCAAAATCAAAAGATGAAGGATGGTACTTGATATTAGGAGAAGTAGATAAGAGAGAGCTTATTGCTTTAAAGCGAATAGGATATGTTCGAAGTCATCATGAAGTTTCTCTTTCTTTTTACACTCCTGAAATACCTGGAAGGTAAGCAGAATCTCACACTAAAGTTCCAAAAGAATTAAATGACTGTGATTAGAAAGACAGTTTTAGCTGGGGGCTGGTGACTCACACTTGTAATCCTGGCTACTCAGGAGGCAGAGAACAGGAGGATCGCGGTTCAAAGCCAGCCCCAGAAAATAGTTCCACAATACCCTATCTCAAAAATCCCTTCACAAAAATAGGACTGGTGGAGTGGCTCAAGGTGAAGGCCCTGAGTTCAAGCCCCAGTACTGCAAAAAAAACAAACCCCCAGTACTGCAAAAAAACCAAAAAAAGACAGTTTTATAGCCAGGCATGGTGGCATTTGACTAGGATCCTAGTACTCAGAAAGCCTAGGAGGATCAGGGATCTAAGACCAGCCCCAGGCAAAAACATGAGACCCTATCTGAAAAATAACCTAAAGCAAAAAAAGAACCAGAGGCATGGCGCAAGTGGTCACATGTAGAAGTAGTTTCAAGAATTTCTTAATAGTCGTAAATGTTAATGACATATAATATAAAACTATATTACAAAGTTCAGTCATGACAAAGAAAAACAGAATATACTGATCTTAGCCTTCCTAACAAGAGCAAGGCTTTGAGTTTAAACCTCAGTACCACCAAAAAAAAAAAAAAAAATTTACATTTTTGTGTTGTTTTTGTATTTTAGGTATATCTTCACCCTGTATCTCATGAGTGACTGCTACCTTGGCCTAGACCAACAGTATGACATTTATCTCAATGTCACACAAGCAAGCATTTCCACACAGGTCAACACAGAGGTGTCTGATGCCTTCTCTGATCTCTGACCCAAACAAGCGATTTGAAAGAAATGGTCAAGAGTCTGGCTGCTCAGTCATTCAAACAAAGTTGAATTACTTGATGTTTACCTTCACAGAATCAACTTCTAACCTCAAGAGATCCAGGAAATTGAGAGTGGCTACAGTATTGACTCCAGCAACACAAAGTTAGCCACAGTTGCCTTTTAATAAACATTGTCTTTTACAGTGCTGTCAGATGAGTGAGCACATAGGATAATCTTTTAATTTATGTATATTTGAGGTGATATTTAAGAGTTATCAATCAAATTTCGCGTCTCACAATATACTGTTTACATTAGCACTGGTTTCTTTTTCCTTTTTTTAAGGAAAACTATAATGAGATGTGACAGCATTAGAATTAACTCTGCAACATAAAATACGTAAGTCTATAAGGTAATACACAATGCAGCTTGTTAGCAACATTTATAGTTTGTTTTGGTCACATGTAGAAGTAGTTTCAAGAATTTCTTAATAGTCGTAAATGTTAATGACATATAATATAAAACTATATTACAAAGTTCAGTCATGACAAAGAAAAACAGAATATACTGATCTTAGAAAATGTGGACACTATAAATGGTAGAAATAAAGTACATAAAGTGCCACTTCAGGCAACCTGATTCAAGTTTTTCTCCAGCTCCTTTCCTATTATATCCTCTCTTCCTTTTCTTCTTTCTTCATGACTACTTCTGTTCTGTCTCTGATATGTTTATTTATGCAAGGGGAGGAATACCATCTAATTTGTGTAGTAATATATAAAGACCATATTTCACAATATTTTGTCATTATACTCAACTCTACAGATAGGTTTCACTTGTCAAAAAGGAAATATCTATATGTCTAAACAAGTTCCAAGTTCCGTATGGAAAATACTTTTTCAAACTATAAACTTCCTAAAATTCAATATTCCCATAATATACAGTTTAGTGAGATAAAATTCTATTTTCTCAAAGTAATTTCTGGCTCTGAAATGAATTATTTTTAGATATTTTCCAATGTAACTGTTACAAGTACTAGAATATAAGTTTTTCTGAAGTTAGAACTTATAGATTGTATATACCCCTTCCAAGCTTAAAAAAAGAAAAAGAAAAGAAGAAATAAAAGGTTGGGTGTGGATAACCAGTAAGCAGCATTTAATTTCCAAAATGAAATCTAAATAATTTATATGAACACACCAAGTATGGTTAGGATAAGATGTGTCAAGGGCCCTTGTCTCAGAAATATGCTTCATATAAAGAATTTTCTCTGCTTTTTCTTTGGCAGAATTTACTTCTTAGTTGAAGTTTTTACCTTATCTGCTGTTTTAGTGGAATTAAAAGAAAACAAAGGTTATAAACAACAATCTCCTGTCCACATGTAACCCAAGTGGAAACAACCTCACGGGCACTTCAGGTTTGTCAGTATCGCCTTGATATTAGACAGCAGGTAGGTTCTAGGAAGTAAGGATCTCCTTCACTGGACATATGACACAGGATATAGGAGAAATAGGAATTTCTTTTACATCCATGAGAGAGAAAAATAATAAGGTAACAAATTAATTTTTTTTAGTCCAGAATAAGTAATATAACGTACTAGTAAGGCAAGGTGTACTTGGATGGAAAAATTAATCCTACTCCAATAAATGTATGACTTTATCTGCACTTATTAATCACCCCAAATTTTATAAAAGGACATATTACAACATAATCATATTAGTAGTACTATTTTCAAATCTGTAAAATCATTAACTTCTTATAACTTTTAGTAGTCAAGAATTTATCTGTATTTTAAAATTACTCAAATCCTGCTTTTCAAGAATGTCCTAAACTTTGTGAGGGTTCTTTTATTTTGGACGGAGAAATACTATGATGAAAAGATTTCAATGGGCTGCTTTAAAATGTGTTTTTTTAACTAAAGTTCCTATAATCTACTTCATCTCCGTTTATTGTCTCTGAGCTAGCTAATTACATTGTACAACTGTGATTTCATGGCAGACATTTCATACCTCTGGATTTTATCAAGCCACAGTAAACAATGTGCCAGTCATGCATTGATTCTAGGTGCTGTGTTGAGTACTGTGATACCCACATGAATGAGAGATATCCTGCCTTCAACAAACTAACCTGGTCATAAAAACAAGATGTACATAATTATACTGAAAGAAAGAAACTAAAATAATAATTGTGATAGAAAATACTTGGGAGTTAGGAGATAAAATACTACATGGAAAAATCATGATGGGACAAATAGGCCAAGTTTTTGTTGTAGTTTTGTTTTTATTTGATCAACAATAACTGTACCTCTTTATGGGGTGCAGGTGATGTTCTGGCACACTTTTATATAGTGTACTGGATCGGCTCAGGATATTTAGGTTGCCCGTGGTCACAAACATTTATCATCCTCTCTCCTAGCTATTTTGTGTTATATGATATGGTGTCATGGACAGAACTTACTGTCCCTCTCTGGCTATGACTTTACACATTAACCAATCTTTCCCATCCTACACCTCCACTATCTCCTTATCCTCTAGTAATCACTCTTATTTATTGTAGAAATAAGTTCAGCTTTTACTATTCCACATGTGGATGAAATCATGTGGTATTTATCTTTCTGTTCCTGGCTTATTTCATTTAGCATTATGATCTCCAGGTCCATCCATGTTGCCACAAATGACAGAATTTCTTCCTTTTGTGGCTGAGTAGGATTCCCCACCTATTCCTCCCTCCCACTGGTACCAACCCCTCGTCCCCATGGCAGGACCTCTTCCACCCTCCTATTCTCTGATTTTATAAATAAAAAAAATGGCATTTTTGTTTCTTTAAGATAGCTACATAAGGGAGTTGCTTTGTGACATTTCTATGTGTAAATATTTTATAACCAAAATTGGTTTAAGCTCCTCTATTTTTCTTCTTTCTACCTTAGTCCACTTCTTATGGTGACTCAACAGCTTAAAAATTTTATATTCATTCTTGTATAGACAGTATATCAAACATACCTTTTTAACTTCCATCTTTTTACCCTCCCCCTCTCATATGTGACCTCCACTTAGCATGACCTGTTTTTATAATATTGCTGTATTTGTATTAGGTCTATATTTCATATATGAGAGAAAACATGGGGTTTTGGCCTTCTGAACACCATATGCAAAAATTAGCTCAAAATGGATTAAAGACTTAAATGTGGAACCTGAAGAAAACAAATAGAGAGGAAACACTCCATGACACTGCACTGGGGAATGGATTTTTTTGAACACGAACATGAGAAGACAGGCAAAAAAAAGAAAACATTGACAAATGGGATTGCATTAAACTAAAAAGCTGCTTCTGCTTAGCAAAAGAAAGTCAACAGAGTGAAGAAACAATGTATAGAATGGGAGAAAATATTTGCAAGCTGTTCATCCAACAAGGAATACTACCCAGAGTATACAAGGAAATCAAAAAACTAAACAACAAAAAATCAATTAGGCTGAGTTTTTGAGGTGGTTAGAATTTGGAAGTTATTGCATTCCAAAAGAAAGAGAACATTCTAGTTAGAGCAACATTAGCAAGACTGAAGTAGGCCCTGCATGGAGTCTCCAATTGGTGGACTTTTAAAAACAAAAAAGGGTTCAATAAGCAAGAAGAATAAAATCTGTGAAGCAACCTTGAATTAGAAAGTAAGGACTGAAAATCTTATGTATGTACAAATAAATTCCTTGCCAAGTCAACAGAAGTCAGGGATTGACTTTGTGGGAACTTTCTTTAGATAAATAGGGCAAGTATGGTGACTCACACCTGTAATCCCAGCTAATGGGGAGGCAAAGATCAGGAGGATCGTGGTTCTAGGGGAAAAAAAAAAATTAGCCAGAACCTATCTCAACAAATAAGCCTGGCAGAGTGGTGTGTTTCTATAATCCCAGCTACATGGGAGACATAGGTAGGAAGATCACAGTCAGAGACCCAACCCCAGAAAAAAACAGGAAACATTATCTGAAAAAAACCAAAGCAAAAAAAGGGCTTGTGCCTTTTTTGTTCAAGAGGTAGTACACCTGTCTATCAAGCTTAAGGCCCTGAGTTCAAATTATAGTAATGCCAAAATAATTTAATCTGGTACAGATGTAGAGATGATATGACCAAGCAAAGGAAGTGTATTAATAAAAGCAAGGAAAGAGCTACAGGCTGACCCAAAGTAAAGTTTTTGACCCAGGCAGCCACATCTGAATGAATGCTTAAATTTGGATTGTTATTCTTTGATTGCTTTGCAATTTGGAGAATATGTTTAACACAAATTTAAGTTTCTTGAGAAATACTATGTCTGTAAACTGATGCTAACCAGTTTACAGAGACTTTGTGGAGAACATGAGTAATTCATGATTGGTTGAGCAAAATCGTCACAGCACTCTTAATTAAAAGTGTTTTGAATCCCCCAAACCCATGATTCCTTACTTGTTCCTTTTATTTTTACTTGGATGTCCTGGAATGTATTTGGAATTGGTAAGCCACAAGCTACTCCTTCACCTGGCAAAAAAGGATAGTTACCTTGAATGATCCTATCCTCTGGTTCTAAGTTATATTGAAAGCAGGGTGTTTTTTTTTTTTTTTATGATTTGAGGATTCCAGGGCTGACTTAAGATGAATTTTATTCCTGAGCTTTCAGTCCAAGTACAGCTGGCCTCAGAGGACTGTACTTTCCAGGATGTAAACTATTGCTGTAGCCAGTTCTGGCACCCCTTAACACCAGTGGCCCATTATTCCAAGTAGCCTTCAATGTGCCCAGTGTTACTCCTTTGAGGGGTGAATAGAGCCTGTGAAATAACCAAATAATTCCTGAGAATGAGATGACTGACAACACTGAGTAATGATGACTATCATAAAAATGAAGAAACTACTTTTCTCATAATTTGCGAATTGACACCAAAGACAATCAGAAAAAGAGGTTCTAAAGATATTCTCCTGGCAACACATCAGGATGGGTATATATTCTCCAAAACTAAAAGCCTAAAAGGGCATAGTTTGATTGTGTGAGTTCTAGGTTTATGACTGCTTTTAGTCAAATTGTAAAAAAAAAACCAAAAAGACAAAATAAGCAAAATAGGATGACATATCAAATGAATGTCTAGTATTTTTAGCATTTCATTTAAGTCTTTAATCCATTCTGATTATGAATGTATGTGTGAGAGATGAGCTCTAGCTTCAGCCTTCTGCATGTAGATATCTAATTTTCCCAGCACTATTTGTTGAAGAGACTGTCCAATTGGAATGAAGGAATAAGTTTTGGTGTTCTATTGCATAGAAATATGACCATGATTAAAAGTATTGCATTGAATACCTCAAAATAGCTAGAAAAAAGGGTTTTTACTCTCACCACAAAGAAGTAATAAATGTATGAGGTGATAGATATACTAATTCCCTGATGTGGTTATTATACAATGTACATACACAGTGAAACATATACTGAACTTCAGCAATATGTATAATTCTGTCAATTAAAATTTTTTTTAATAAAATGGGCTTAAGTTACAGAGTAAGTTTGGATTAGAATGACAAAAAAATAAACTTCACAACATGGTTAAAAATAATGAACAGGCAAGCTACCAATAGAGAGCATTAATCAAACATGATTTGCCTCAACATAGCCGTCTCTCTCCACCAAACTTCAAGGGACACTGAAAAACAATCATTGCATACTTCCCTAAATTAATACTGCATGAAAGTGTTTAATAGATATTCTGAGAATGAATGCCAATAAGTTCAATTGAGAGTTCAAATAATCTCTTTTAATTACAATTCAAAAATGTCCAGTCTACCAGGAATGTACATCTTTACTGTTACTTTCAGACATTATGCTCTAGTTCCTACTACAACTCTTTCACCAGGGATAGAGAAAGAATTGGTTTTAATTATAAAGAGAACCTGGGTTTGCTG